TTTGATGGCCCTTAGAGGAGGTGGATGAATGGGGGGGGGAGACCCGGCTTCAGCCTGCTCTTGCCAAGACGGCGGAACAGCGCAGGACCCCTCCGGGCATCCCACCCCGTGCAGAGCGACTCGCGAGAAGCCCCCTTGTTTTGATGGCCCTTAGAGGAGGTGGATGAATGGGGGGGGGAGACCCGGCTTCAGCCTGCTCTTGCCAAGACGGCGGAACAGCGCAGGACCCCTCCGGGCATCCCACCCCGTGCAGAGCGACTCGCGAGAAGCCCCATTGAGGAGGCGCAGAAGGCATCATGGAGGGCAGCCCAGCGGAAGCTCCTCCTGGAGGGGACTGGAGGACACGCCATTTGCATTCATCTGCAGCGTCGAAGGGGTTAAACTGGCAGAGCCTTTTGCTAGAGAGGCCGAGCAGGGAGTGGGTGGGTCCAGAAGAGAGGAGGGGGCTCTTTTGCTCCTCATGTGTATGCGTGCCTGCGTGTCCGGGGAGGGGGTTTTGCTTCTGGACTGGGGGGACTTCAGAGAAGGAGCAGCATCCAGGAGAAGCGGTGCAGCCCGACCCCCCCCCTCAGGGGGAGGTCTCCTTAGAAGCAAGTCGTGCACGGGGGGGGAATAGGATTTTCGATCTTGCAAGGGAGGAAGGTGGGGATCGTGCCAAGCTCTGCCTGTCCTGTCTTCTGGGTGGCAAATTCCTGGACCTTTGGGGAGGGGGCCGGGGGGAGGAGAGGATGGGGGAGGGGCCTGCAAAACCTGCGGGGGGGAGGGGCGGGCCCCAAGGGCCCAATGCAGGCTATGGGCCTGCCTCCACTTAGAAGGGGGGGAATCCCTCAGAAATTCTACCAGAAGGCCAACCTCACAGGTTAAGAAACATATCAGCTGAATCATAATATTGGCAGGTCCTAACTGAGCCAAGATGAAAGACTGCCTAACTTTTCCCCCTTTGGGCTCACTAGTGTCAAATAGTGGCTGGGAAGAAGAGGACTGCAGCTTGCGCTCAATCTAGGATGGCGGAACCCTGCCTTTCTGCTGCCCTTTCTCCATTGAGTTTTGTTGCTGATACTCGATTGAGGACAGAAATACCACAGCAGAAAACACTCGTCTCAGTTTAGATGGATTTCCACATTATAACAACCTAAAGAAAGCAAAGGGTTCAGGTAGTCATCTCATACATAATTCATTTGCATTCGGTGATCCTAAATTTAAATGTATTGCTGTTGTGGACTTTTAAATTCTTTCATTTAGTTTTCTTGTAATCTGACCCTTGGTGTTCAATTCAGGCCTCATAACAATAATATACAATTTAGGGAAAAATATGCAACCCAGCAACCCAACACTGGAGGCTAAGATAGAGAAGACCTCCACGGCCACCATGTATTTTCCTTTGGTGCTCAGATAGGTTGGAACAAAGGTCAGCCACACACTGCAAAAGACCAGCATGCTGAAGGTGATGAACTTGGCTTCATTAAAACTATCAGGTAACTTCCTACCTAAGAAAGCTACAGAGAAGCTCACAGTGGCCAGGAAGCCTAGGTAGCCCAAGACACAGTAAAACATGGTAACTGACCCTTCATTACACTTCAGAATAATTTCTTCAGTCAATGAGTGCATATCAAAATCTGGGAATGGAGGAGAAGTTATTAACCAACCTGTACAAATAGTGGTTTGAATAAAAGAACAACAAAGAACAATGGAGTAAGCCAGTGGTTTCCCCACCCAGTTTCTCATCTTGGACCCTGGTTTGGTGGCTATGAAAGCTAAAACCACAATGACAGTCTTGGCCAACACACAAGAAATGGCCACTGAGAAGATAATGCCAAAAGTAATTTGTCTAAGGAGACACGGCGGCTTCTTAGGTCGCCCAATAAAAAGAAACGTGCAAAGGAAGGAGAGCAGGAGGGAGACGAGGAGAATGTACGAGAGATTCCGGTTGTTGGCTTTGACTATGGGAGTGTCCTGGTTCTTCATGAAGATAATGAGCACCGAAGCTGCCATAAAAGAGAAGGAAAACGCAGAACTGGCCAAACTGATCCCCAAAGGTTCTTCATAAGACAGGAAACTTATATGTTTTTTCAGGCATAAGTCCTGATTAGTATTTGGATATTGATCTTCTGGGCATCGAAAACAGTCACTGGTATCTGAAAAATAAATGTGGATATAGTCACATTTAAGACCTTCATGCAGTGTCCTGCATTAATCTGCATTACTAGGGGGTACGTAGGGCTGCTACATGGGAATCTCAGCATTGCATAAGTCTCATGCAGTTATGTTTTGGGGGTTTTGAACGATGCTAATGAATGATACAGGAACAGTGCAGTTCATGTAAGACTTTTGTACTTGGTAAACTAAACCTCATCACTGAACACGTCTTTCAATTTCAGAAACACATAATTTTATTGGTTTCAATCCAATCATCTGTTTGATCACACATACAGCACACAAAAACACACGTACCTCAAAGTTTTTAACAGCCTGCTACATTGTATCTGCGGCAATCCCCACCCACTGGAAACAGAAAGGAAATGAGATTTCATAGCTAATCTACTCATTTCTTTAATATAAACAAAATTTATCCTGCAGCTGCACTCTTCTAAGTCATAGAGCAAATGGGAAATACCTGTGTGGAAAAGATGACAAAGGTACTTACACAGGTATTTCACATTCGCTCTTTGCTTACTGTGTGTTCCTGCTTGTCTCTTTTAAGTCATCACATCTTGTATTATATAAAAAACCTAAAATTAAAAGGTGATAATATATTCAAAGCTTTAACTATCAGAAAAATCCAGCATTAAAATTGCCGGTTTCAGATCTGGTGTTAGAAGAAAAAAGAATATTGGATAAGCTTGGTGAATACAAACCTTACCCTCCAGGCTTGAAATCTTCCCTTCTGGACATGGACGGCAATCATAGCAGCAAAATGGCTTCCCCTCCTTCTTTTTCTTCCTGTATCCTGAATGGCATCTGTCATTGCACAGAGAAAGGGGCTGCACCTTTCCATAAATGAAATGTTTTGGGGTTTATTAAAAATAACATTCAGGAAATACGTTTCAGGAGTTTTCATTTCACTAGTCAATCATCCATGTAAGGAGCAGCTTGCCACGGGTATGGCATAAGAACATCTCTTTTGGAGACCACTTAATATGCAATGGGATATTTCTATGTCTTCCACTAAAAGGCAGAGTTCCATATATTATACAGATCTCGAGGAAATGCTATGGCCACCTCAAGGGGGGAAGTGCCATCAAATCACAAATTACTCATGGAGATCCTGTAAGGTTTTCAAGACACTACATGTTCAAGGGTGATTTGCCATTGCCTGTCTCTGAGTAGCAACCCTGGACTTCTTTGGTGGTCTCTCAAACGAGGATTAACCAGAGCTGACTCTGCTTAGCTTCCAAGAGCTGATGACATTGGGCTAGCCTGGGCCACACAGATTAGGGCACCATGAGGCTTACAAATCCTACTGACTTTAGTTGAAATAAAGTTCCGCTGTTTGAAGTGTGACTTGCTACTCGGAAAATGACCGTTTCTGTAAATTAAGTAAATAGTTCAGCAATATATGTTCACAATTGTGCAATGTTATGATTTCAAATTGAAAAATGTGGTCAGAATAGTACTTATCTGATTGGCAGAACACAGAGGCAGAACTGCTCCAGAGTTTGAACTCGAAAACACTAATGGAACACCAGGAACCTAAAATGATATTCCATAACATAATATGCCCTGAGAAGCATACAGACAAGAGCACACCTGGTTAAACATGTGCGACCAAATGATTTGTTCTTCATGAATGGAGAACACTTTGTCTTCGGGAGCTTTGGGGTCAATCCTTCCAACTCTGGCTCTAAGAAAGGACTCATTAGGAAACGTGATCCAGTTGATGATATCAAATCCAGCTGCTATCTCCACATTTTCATCAAAAGAAATTAGGTCCCCAGCACTATTGTTGAATGAGACTCTTTTCAAAAATCCATGGAACTAGAGAAGAAGAAGAAGAAGAAGAAGAAGAAGAAGAAGAAGAAGAAGAAGAAGAAGAAGAAGAAGAAGAAGAAGAAGAAGAAGAAGACGACGACGACGACGACGAAGAAGAAGAAGAAGAAAGCATTTTAACATTTTTCAGAGTATATTGAGAATCCATTAACACCTGTACTGGAACTTATATAGGAACTGGCTAAATGCAGTAATACAAGGTTTCTGAAAAGTACAGATTTCAAAGGAACAGGGAGAATGCTGGTGAGGAGAGTTGAGTGATCATTGGGAAAGGATAGGATGTTGAAGGAAAGGAGATTTCTCACTGGTAGAGCATCCACCTGGCATGCAGAGGGTCTCAGGTTCAATCCTCAGCATTTCCAGATCAAAATATCAGGTTGGAGGAAATGAGAAAAACCTCTGCATGAGACCTTGGAGAGCCTCTGCTGGTCTGAGTAGGTAATACAGATATTGATGGAGCAATCGTTATGTTTCAGTATAAGGCAGAATTATGTCTTCATGCCTACCATTGGCAGGTGATATATACAATAACTTCTCCAACGATTTGTGAAGGAATGGAAAAGGTATCAAGCAGAGCACCACATACTGGACAAAGAACTGGTAACCCATGTTGTCAACTATGCACCCATATATTGTGAGCAATTGAAGGGAAATAAAAAGAGTCACAGACAAAAAGAACTTATATGTACTAGAACACTCCACTTGAAGTGAAAGCATAGTTTGGAGAAGAGGAGATTGAGGGGGGACCTGATTGCTCTCTTTGAATATTTGAAAGGCTGTCATTTGGAGGAGGGCAAGGACCTGTTCCAGTTGGCAGCAGAGGATAGGAACTGAAGCAACGGGTTTAAATTACATGCAGAAAGATATCAGCTGGATATTAGGAAAAACGTTTTCATGGTCAGAGTGGTTCAAAGGTGGAATTGGCTGCCTAGGGAGGTGGTGAGCTCCCCTTCACTGACGGCTTTCAAGAAAAGGCTGGACGAATATTTGTCAGAGATGCTTTAGGCTGGTTCTGCATTGGGCAGGGGGTTGGACTAGATGGTCTGTATTGCCCCTTCCAACTCTATGATTCTAAGACAAATCCACCCCATATTGTGTTAGGGTGGGAAAGTGGGACTCTGATTTAACAGGGCTGCTTTTCTTTGAGTAAATACCGATAGACAAGTAAACAAAATGTTATCGATATTGACTGCATAGAGCAGCCTTGCCACGGAAGCTTGCTGGGTGACCATGAGTCAGTTGCTCCCTCTCGGCTCAGCCTAACTGGGGGGAAATAAAAGTATAAATATCTAAATGAATGAATTAAAATATATAGGACTTGTTTAGACAATCTTTTATTTTTTAAAAAAAAATATACCACTAAAGAAATTGTACACCTGAGAAACTAGCAAAATGTTATGGAAACACTAACAGGAATTGTTGGAAATGTAAGAAAAATGTTGGTACATATATGCATATGTGGTGGAGGTGCGAGAAAATACAAAGATACTGGGAAAAACTTACAAGATGATAAATGAAATTATAGGAAAACAGATAGAAAAGTTGCTTTACTGAATATTCTTCCCAAATCATATAGTAAGACAGATAAATATATAACTTATTTTGTTACGGCAGCCAGAATATTAGTAGCCAAAACATGGAAGGAAGAGGAAGTACCTTCAAAAAAAGAAATAATAGATAAGATGCTATCAGTAGCTGAAATGGATAGATTCAGTTTAATATTACAAGGTCAAAGTAAAGAAGTATTTGATAAACGATGGGAAATGTTTTATATATGGTTAGACAATCTGTATAAAAATGACTCACAAGAATAGGAAATGTAAAACGGAATGTTAAGTGTATGGTAGAATATACTATAAATAAAAAAATTTTAAAAAAGAAAAGAAATTGTACTGGCCTTTGTTACTACCTCACCACTATCCATTCGTAGCCAAATCAAGTATATAATAACTAACAAATTGGGGGGAAAGGCAAGAAAAAGCAATTAATTTCCCTCCAAATACATACGTAAGAATGATAGGACTGGTCTATGGCCATGAGGCTCAATGAAAACAATCACACCCGCTGTCATTTTATTGTACATGTAAATACAGATGAAGCGGCCTTATACAGTCTTCCAGCACCTCCCCAGAGACTCAGGCTAAGGTCTTTCATATAATCTACTGCAAGATTCTTTAACTGCAGAAGCTGAGGATTGAACCTGGGACTTTCTGCATGTTGAGGAGATGATCTGCCAATGAACCATGACCCCTCTCCTTAAATGTCAGCACTGAACAGTTGTGTAATAGATTGTTAAGGGCTAGAACATCTGCTTTTGAGCCAAGGATGCATTTTGCAGTTTGGGGTCTCTTGTTCACCAGTTCTGACTGCCAGATGTCCAATTCTGGAAAGCTCTCCAGCAATTATGTGCTTTCTCAGCATTACCTGCCATGGCTGTTTTCTCAGCAGCTTATTTCTCCCATCTGCTACTGCTCTGTGTTTGAGCATGGACGAATACATGGCATGTAATGCATGTGCCACCACATAGACAGCAGTGTAGATGCTATAGCTGTGGCCTGTCATGCTCATTTCAAAGACAGACCCAGGAAGACTCTCCAGCTTCTCCTTCCCAGTGCAGATTTCTTCATCATTCGTGGCTTCTGTGGTACTGGGGAGTGAACAGCCAAATGCATGTTTCCAGAAATCACCCATAAAGTCATCTCCTTTTTCAGAGGCAGGATCCCTTGCCTGAAGAAACTGATCAAATCCTAACACCTCTCTTGAGTGAACTGCAAAAGATAAAGCACCATGGATGAAGTCTAGGTCCCAACGTCTTTGAAGTTCAATTGATGTGAAATCCATCTGGGCTGTCAGGATCCAGACTTTGGCTTTTGTCCTCATGGGTATCTCTTTAAATTCTGCAGCCCTCAGCAAGAACCGCAAATTTATCACCGTTTCAATTTCACCATGTACCACCACTGCTTTGGCTGTGCTTTCCATGACAAGTCTCGATGTGTCTTCATTTCCAGCTTTCATTTGAGACAAAGAACTAAAAAAAGTCATTGATGGGAAAGTTACTACGAAATCAAAGCAGATGCCGTGCTCGGAAAAGCTAGAAAGTACCTCCTGTACAAATTGCTGCCCATGTTCATTATCCACGTAGATCACCCCAACCCATATCCATCTGAAATAAAGCAGTAATTTCATAATCCCCATGTACTGATTGGTCCAACTAGGAAATATCTTGTAGAGGAAAGCAGCTTCATTTTTGTTGTTCATCACTGGAGCAGAGCCATAGGGCAGCTAAAAGAAACAAAGGAGATAGCAGAGAGGTATCTCTCCTTATATATAATTGAATAGTGGGTGCCAAAGTTCTAATTCTAAAATGCACTCCCTTAGTGTATGGCTGATGGCACTGCTCCTCAGCATATATCACCACCAATCAGAAGGCAAAGCCCGGGTCCCGCCCACACCACAACTGCTGCGACAACCTGGTCTTTTGCATATGGAAGCTGATTGGACTTCAGTCCATTCCACACCTCAAACTCCCCCCCCCGCAAGGCAGTTGGAATTTTCAGTTGCATAACATACCTCATAGGGGAGAGGAGAATGGGTAACAATGGTTACCACTCTCCAGGTGAGGGCTACAAATAACTCAAACCTACAAATGCTCTTCAGGTAGCAGAGATCAGTCCCTCTGGAGAAAACAGTGGACTCTGTCATTAAACCCTGCTGAGGTCGCCACAGGAAACTGACACTGTTTGCCCAAAGCCAGAGCACTCTCCCAGAGCCTCTTTCTAGATCCTGTATTTATTTCTGCAACGGGCCTTATTTCTAGTTTCAAAATAAAACAATCCTCTGGCTTGAGACTTCTGCTGAGGAACCATGGAAGACTGAATGTCTCTCCTATGCAGAGGAATACCATGGTCATCAAAGCAGGTCTGGAGACACTCTCCAGCCATTGTAGTCTCTCTGGATTGAAAGGGAAAGTGAGGAGTGCATCCATTTGTTTTCAGAGTGGCAGCTCCCCTGATGGTTTTATTGCAGAGCTGGAGGTCTTTGTGTAAACCCTGGCTCAAGCGCACCAGCCACAGGAGGAACAAGAAGCTTGTTGCCATGATGGACTCCTAAGGGAAATTAAGTCTCCCCAAGCATCATCTCTTACACTTTAAAGGAGTTATTCATCATTGCTGGCAAGCAGTACCGTACCTAACCAGGGGCCCATGGGGGCTGGCCCCCTGGTGATTTTAATGGGCCCCCTTCCCAATACTTGGCAAACTAATTTATGTGGCAGCTCTCTCTCTAATTTATTGCTCTCTCACAACTTTAATGGCAGTAGCTCACAAAGTAGAAGTTTTGCTCACAAAACTCCACAGCTTAGAGGCAACATTGGTGGTGGGCCCCCTGAGAAAAACATGGGCCCCCTGAGCAAAAGGTTGTTAGCTACGGGCCTGCTGGCAAGGATTGGTTTTCATTTGTGACTGAAACAGCCTGCCTCTTCTTGCTGAGGGTGAGACAAAACAGTATTTTATGTAACTATATAATTTAATCTGATCAGCAAAGACTTAATATTTTGAGTCTCTATGGTAAAAAGTTTATCAAGAATATATTACCAGGGATGATTTTAAAATGGACTAGGGGTACAGTTAAACAAACTTTTTACCTTTGACATTTCTGTCAAGTAAATGAATAGTTTGAGGAGACTGGACCAAAATTACGTGTCATAGCTACAATGCTCTTTTCAATGTCATTTCTAATTGGTGGATATTTACAAACTAGTAATTGCTGATGTCTCATTGTCATGGTGATTTACAACCTGTCTGGCTGTAAACACGGGGAATAGAGGAACTGTGTTCTTTATTTAGCCTCTCTGCCAGGATTGTTTGTCTTTGAAAAGTGGCTTTTTGCCATTTTAATTTACAATGGTGACTCCCAGGACAAGCTCAAGCTCAATAGACTTGTCTCTGGGAAAACCAGTTACAGATGAACTTCATAAACTGTTTGAGCCTATGACGAATAATTTGGATTTAATTGAAAAGTGTATAGAAGACAGACTGTCAAAGATGGATAAGGAATTCATGAAAATGCATGAGGAAATAACCTAAGAGGTTAAAAAAAACCTAGACAGTTCATTAAACCAAATTTCTGGACAAGTAAAACAGATTTCTGATAAAGTAGAATCATTAGAATGTAAGTCAGAGGTGCATGATGAGGAACTAGAAAAACACCGAGATAATCTTGCCCTCCTGGAGCTGAGAGAGAAGGCATTTTGTTTAAGGCTGACGTCAGTTTTTGAACATATTGATGAAAATATCAGAGAAACCGTTATAAAAGTCTTAGATTTTCTGGAGACAAGAGAAGAGATGGAGCAATAAACAGATAAAATATACAGAATAAATTCCAGATACCCTACTATGAAAAAGGTTCCAAGGGATGTACTGGTACAATTTGTTAGGAAACAAACAAGAGACCAACTTTTCCAGCCGTGTTATAAAACAAAATTCAGAATGGATGACATAGATATAATTATCATGTAGGAACTTCCTTTGAAAATTCTACGCAAGAAAAAGACTATTTTATTTATTTATTTATTTATTACATTTATACCCCGCCCTCCCAGCCATGGCCCATATGAATTTTAACTGAAAAGTTAAAACATAAACCAATTCCTTTTCAATGGGATAATTTAGAGGGTGTGGTCCTGACTGTCACTAATGATCATAATCTAATTAAGAGCAAACAGGAATTCCTCTAGAGTCATTTTCCTATATTGTTGGTGGATATTTTAAAAAATGTCATTATCTACTATGGGGAAAAAGAAACATCAGCCTCGGCCACATGGGCAGGAAAATGCGGGGGGAGGTGTGTCTGTTTGCCCCGGAGCAAACTAACGTGCGACTGCGCAATCAGGCGTCGGGTTGAGGTCCTGTCGCGCTCCCGTGGTTAGGGGGAGGTGCCGATCACATGACGCGGCAAAGAAGCAGAGCGACGCGGCAAACGGGGTTGTGGGGTTTTTTTAACTGAAATGTGCGCATGCTCCATTGGGTGCTTGTGCGCATCCATGGAGACTTGGGGGAAAAAACCCTTTTTGCGAGGGGACATGGGCAGGCGCAGGAACTACCACCGGAAACGCGATCAGATGCAAACCCTTGCCCCACGGTTTCCGGAAACTAGTACCTCCGAGGTACTAGTTTTTTACCCTGCATCTTCAGCGGGAAGCCTCGGGTGCGCCACGGGAGCTCTACGCTTCCTAGATGTGGCGGTGAGATTGCGCCCAGAAAATCCACCTATCTTCCGTCTCTCTAGCGTGCCTAATGCTCCGTGTGACCGGGGCCATCTTTTATCTGAGCAGCATAGTTTCCTCAATTTCACATTCCAAAGAAGTACAGTGCAACTCCTTCCACTTGGAGTGAAGTGGAGGAGGGAGAACCCCATCGGGGGACAGGAGAGAGAGGGAGGAGGAGGTGATTAATGGTTCCTACAGAAACCCCCTGTATGTCCCACCTCAAAATGTGAATGGGCCAATAAGCACACCGACAAGCTCACCACTGCCATGAGGAATATATAGCAGCTGAATAGGCTTTGGCGGAATCATGTAGGAGGGAGAAAGGAGGAAAGAAGAGTTGACAGGGGTGCACAAAAGAGGAGCCATGCTGGATGTGAAAGAGTGGGATTTTTTTTGCAAGCACCCAACCATCTGAATGCTTCTTGCACGGTGGAAAGGAAACCTGATCGGCTATAAGGGCAGTGCCTTGGGCCAGCTCCTCCCTGACCATGCACACTCCACGAGGGCTGCCCAGAC